AAATTGCCTTGGTTGGTGAAATGGCTGCATGTAAGCCAACACTTGGGTGAAATGTATGCATGTAGTATATTAGTTATGAATATAAGCAGAGGTACTATACGCGATCTCTCTAAAGTGTCTTTCAAGCCAGCCAGTTGCAGTCATGATTGATGGAGCTCTAGCAGCCATTTTTGGACCTTCAGACTAGAAACCCATAAGAGCAACACTCCGCTGGAACCTGGGTTCCTGACTCCTGATGGTACCATCCAGCCTTGGACCCAAGATCTCTATACTTCAAAGATAAAACACTGGATTGAGTCACTTATATTTTGGGATTTTTGTCATGCAAAAGTGAAACAAATCCTTTCTAGTAGGTTTTAAGAATAAAAGGATAAAGAGAGTAGAAGAAATATGGCAAACCAACAAAAAGATCATTATAGGCTGGGTGTGGTGACTTCCAGCACTCTGTGAGGCCAAGGTGGGAGGACTGCCTGAGCCTAGGAGTTCAAGACCAGACTGGGCAACATTGTGGGACTCTTATGTATACAATGTGGGCAACCTCTAGAAATTAGAACAAACAAGTAACAGATTCCTGCCCTAGAGCAGTGGTTCTCAATCTTCCCAACGCTGCGGCCTTTTAATCCAGTTCCTGTAAGTCGAGACCTACAAGTTGAGAACCGCTGCCCTAGAGACTCCAGAAAGGAACACAGCTCCACTGACACCTTAATTTTACTCAAGTAAGACCCATTTGAGACGTCTGATCTGTAGAACCTTAAGATCACCATTGTTTAAGCTGCTAAGTATGTGATAATTTGTTACAATAGCAATTGAGAACCTAACACAGAAGGGTCTGTCCTATCTGCTGGGGTTGCTGAGCTGGCAGATGGGGAGCTGTCAGGAGAAGGGGAGCTTTCTGGGGGTAAAGCCATCAAAGAAGAAAGCCATGTTGAGAGGCAGCCAGATAGAAATTGGAAGGACATTGTGCAAACCCCTGGGCTGAGCTGCTGTCTAAAATAAATTCCTTTGTGTATTTAAGCTTGTTTCTGTCACTTGCTACCACCACTCATGAATAATGCAAAATGTATCCCATGGGACAGGCCCTGTCAGTGGGAGGCTCACCCCGCCCACCACACCCCAGTTGCTTCACTGCACACTGCTGACAGCCGAGCTGGCATCTGCATCTGGGGCTCGCTCTGCCCTGCTCTGCTGCCCTGTGACAGGCCAGGAGCAAAGAGGGGGTGACGCCTCCTGAGAGCAACCTGCAACCAATGACTGCCACAAGTCGGTGTCCAAGTATCCAGCTCCCCTGGGCTTCCCTTCCCAGGAGGACTAGGCTGCAGAGTGGAAACCATCTTGCCAAACGGCCTTTCTCTGACTGCCCTCCTGTCCCTACCTCATTGTCTCCTGGGTTTCTTGGACTCCTAGTCCAAAGAAACAACTCACACTTGAATCCGTCTCACTGTCTGCCTGTGGATTCCAAAACTGAGGCCCCCCTGTTTACTCTCTAGCTTATTCCTTGTGCTCTCTCACTGTCTTTGGAGCCAGGCTTCCAGCTCCCAAATCACCTCCTTTTCTTATTCAGAGCCTCTCGGGTCTCCAACCCTACCTCAAACTAACATTCCCTGTTCTAATGATGCTGAGGTGCCACAATGAATGAGGACCTGTCCACTCACCTCCTTCATCCTTTGGCAATACAAGAAAAAAAAAAGGAGAAAAATATGATAATTAGAGTTTTATTTTTAATTTTCTTTGTCATCAGCACTTTTTCTCTCTAGCACAGTGATTTTTCTTTTCTTTTCTTTTCTTTTTGGCTGGGGCTGGGTTTGAACCCACCACCTCTGGCATAAGGGACCAGCGCCTTACCCTTTTGAGCCACAGGTGCCGGCCTGGCAGTGATTTTTCAATCGGTATGCCATGAAAATGGTTCAAAGATCATTAATTAAATTATTTCGAAAGACATTCAAAAGCACAGCAAGCATATTCTTTATGTTTTTTTTTGTTTTTTGGATCAACATAATTTAAGTGTGTTACAATAGGTTCAAGTGTGTGTGAGTTAAAAAATTGTTGAAAAACACTGGTCTAGGGTATTGCAGTGATGTGAACAAATAGACGCGCTTCCTCCTCTGTGGAGCTGATGGCTAGTGGGGGAGAGAGACCTTAATCAGAGAGTCATACAAACAAACAAAAAGGGAATCTCCCTCATACGTCTCATAGCAGTGGATCGAAAAGAAAAAAACAAAAGATATCTCCACCAGCATGAAAGAGGAGTTCCTAGGGACCCTGGAGTTTATACAAGTTGGATTTTTCCCTCCTCTGAGAAGTTCGGAATGGCTTCACTGAGGAAGCACCAGAATCTAATGATGGAAAGATACTCAGATGGGTCTAGACGACAAAGGGAGGGAAGAGAGCACTTCTGGCAGGGGAAATGGCATGTACAAAGGCCCTGTGGCAAGAGGAAGCAGGAGGTAAAGGTATCTGAAGACCAGAGATCAAGGGGGAGTTCACTGGGAGATGGGTCTGGAAGAAGATACAGGAGAGTCCCATGCAGGGCCTTGTGGACTGAACTAAGAATTGGGTCTTTAGCCTAAGTCCAGTGGGAGCCATTGGAAAGTTTTAAACTGAGTTTCCTACCACAGAAACCAACACCAGTCTGACCATAACAAGCTTGTAAACATGTCTTCCCAGCAGATTTCTAAAGCCGGGTTTCAGATGCATTTGGTAACCATAGAGATGGCTACGTGGACTCTAACAATTATGATAATGAAACCACAAACTTGGGAAAACTGGAGGCTATAAATAGAATTGGTTCTGGGTGAGCTTTGAGTAGTCTGGGCTGATGAAAGGTGCTAGAAACCACATTATGTCCACATAAAGAGTGTGACGTTTGAAAAGGTGACCTGCCATGTGGATGAATGAAGCCCAGGGACTGCAGAGTCCAGGCCGTTGGTGTCATAGCAACCCTCAGACCAAAGAGCTTTTCTTTAGTATTTCAAACAAGGCCTCAATGATTGGGGGAGGGGGAAGGAAAATGAATATATGAAGAGTGTCTGCTACCCACCAGGCCCCTCATGATCAATGTCTTTTCTAATTTAATTTAATTTTCTGAGACAGAGTCTCACTATGTCGCCCTTGGTAGAGTGCTGTGGCGTCACAGTTCACAGCAACCTCAATTCTTGGGCTTAAAAGATTCTCTTGCCTTAGCCTCCCAAGTGGGACTACAGGCGCCCACCACAATGCCCAGCTAATTTTTGTTTGTAGTAGTCATTGTTGTTTGGCAGGCCCGGGCTGGGCTCGAACCCACCAGCTCTGGTGTATGTGGCTGGCACCCTAGCTGCTTGAACTATAGGCGCCGAGTCATCTTTTTTAATTGTAATAAGCACTTGCCAAAGTAGAACTAACTATCCCCATTCTGAAGATGATGAAATTGAAACTCGTAGAAATGATATTGGCTACTGTGTGACAATGTGCCAGGCACTCGTGGCTTCTTCCCCAGAAACTATGCCCAGCTGCCTTCCTTCTTGTTCGAGCAATACATCTTTGTCTACACAGGTTGAAAATGCCAGTTCCTTACTTTTCCAGCTTCCTCTGATGCAAAGGCAGAGACACATGGGCCAAGTATGGTCAATGCCTTACAGAGGAAGTCGATGGGGAAAGAAGGACTGCCAGCAAAATATTTCTCCCAAATAAAGACAGGCGTATAGGAGGTAGCACCTCTTTCTTTTAGCTAGATGTTGCTGTGTCTTCACGGAATGTGCGGGACCTTACTTTGGTGGCCATCTTAAGATCATAAGTGCATGTGCAAAATTGTGTATGATATGAATTTGTTAAAGCCTGTATTAGCTTTGTAATGAAACAGAAACAGAAAAAGTTTAATTACTCCCAATTCAGTTAAGGTCCTGTCTCTGGAAACTTGATTCTTCCCCTCTCCTCAAATCTCACAGCCCTCACCACCCTCTGAGTCTTCGTCTTCTTTTCCCTGAGAAATGTTTAAGAATGCACTCAATGAATGGTAGTTATTATTATGCTAGCACTCAAGATGTAGTTCAGTATCTGCCTGGCCCAACTTTGACTAGTGAGAGCCCCTTTTAGGGGGAATTTAGGAGTAAAAGAAGTTCCAAAAATAAGAACACACGTGGTGAAAATAAGATGGAGTCAGTCAGGCTAGGCACACACTGCTGGTCCTGTCAGTTTGGAGTCTACGTGACCTTTAACCCTTCACCCCCGGCTCCCATTCTTATTGTTTTATAAATTTATCTCCTACCTCCAATGCCTATTTTGAGTAATTTAGGATGACTGATTTAGGAGATTAACTTTTGAATTGGAATGTTGTTATGGGTCATAGGTTATGCTGATTATTGTTGTTGAAGATTAACATGGTTTTTACTTTAAACTTTCATATATAAAACTGTGATTTTGGGAAAAGAAGAACAGAATGGTCTTGAAGAGGCAACTCTCACTGTTCTCCAGAATCCCTGGCCTTTTGAAAAAGTCTGGTGGACTTATCCCCATCTCTGCATATGGGGTGACAGTGACAGGCGGCCCGACTCTCTTGGTCAGGTAACAAAAGAATTCTCAGAAACGCAGCTTTCCAACATAGGGGGGAACTCCTGGGAAGAGCAAACAGGATCCGAGAAAAAGAGCATTTTTCTCCAAAGGAACCTAAGTTTTCCGGGAGAAGCCAAGAACTGGGAGGTGGACGGGAGAAGCCAAGAACTGGGAGGTGGACTCTCTCCAACAAGCTGGAGGTAAGAGTCACCGAGGTGGAGAGTCACCCAAGTCTTCAGGGACAGCCGAGGATGGGGAAGCGCCGCTTCCCGAGAATTGCCGAGCCTGTACGGAGACACACGAAGACCTGGGAGGCGGGGCCACGAGAGCCGTTCCCGATTGGCTCTAGCAGACTTCGGAAAGAGCCTGCAGGTTGGGAGGCGGAACTCCTCCCACAGGCGGAAGTGTCGGAGCTGGAAGCTTCCGAGTGACGGAGGAAGGCCGAGGATTTCCGGAGCGAGCCGAAGTTTCGAGACAGCTTCCGGAGATCGCTGCTGGGCTCGATCCTCAGCGCAAGACGCGACCATGGCGGCTGTGGTTGCAGCTGCTTTTGGGGAAGGCGAGGACCCCGCACCAGAAACGGAGGCGCTGGCCGCGTCCCGGGAGCGGAGCAGCCGCTTCTTGAGCGGCCTGGAGCTAGTGAAGCAGGGTGCCGAGGCGCGCGTGTTCCGCGGCCGCTTCCTAGGCCGCGCGGCTGTGGTCAAGCACCGCTTCCCCAAGGGCTACCGGCACCCGGCGCTGGAGGCGCGGCTTAGCCGGCGGCGGACTGTGCAGGAGGCCCGGGCGCTGCTCCGCTGCCGCCGCGCAGGTAAGCGCACCTGGGTCCAGGGCGTGCGGGGGCCCGAAGGCTCCGGGGCTGGGCGACGCCGGGTGGTCGGTCCCCTTCTCTCCGTCCCCCGATTTGCCTCAATTTCTCTTTGTGCCTCTGCCTGGCTTTTCCTATTTGTACCGTTTCCTTTTTCTCGTTTCTTTTCTCTCTCTCTCTCTTCTTCTTTCATTTCACAGAGTTTCTGTTGCCCAGTGTAGAGTGCCATGGCGTCATCATAGCTCAGAGCAACCTCAAATTCTTGGGCTCAAGCGATCCTCCTGCCTCAGCCTCCAGAGTAGCTAGAACAACGGCCTCCCAGAGTGCTAGGATTGCAGGCGTGAGCCACTGCGCCCAGCCATCCTTTCAGTTTTCAATCATCTCTTCATTCATTTTAAGAAACAAATGCAGTCACAAGTACTTGCTCTGAAGCCAGGCTTCCTGGCTTCAAATACTAACTCAGCGGCTTCACTTGCAGCCTTTCAACAAGTTACCTGACCTCTCAGCTTTAGTTTCCTCACCAAATAAATGGAAGTCATGGTAACAGTATTCATGTCGCAGGGATGTCATGACCCTTATACGAAGTATATGTGCCGTGTATTGTGTTTAAATGTGTTCCCTGCAGATAGTAACCATTAAATGTTAGATTTCATTGATTTGTTTTGCTTTTTCGTTGAAACATTATGCAGCATCTCCATAAACCTTGTCCTCGATGAGAAACTGATGCTCAGAGAGGAGAAGTAACTTGCCCCCAGTTACACGAGTAGTATGTGGCCCAGCCGTTTACTACTGTATCCTCTGACTCAGAAGCACTGGCTTTACACATCTTGCCTTTGTTTGATTAGTAATTTTTAGGTATGTGCTGTGTGCCAGGACATTGTTAGGTGCTGAGAGATCTGGGGGAAAATTCAGTAGTGAACAAGCAGACAGGTCTGCCCTTGCAGAGATTTAATGGAGTTATTTGTGTGTTCATATTTTCTCTCTCACCTTCCCTATGACATAAGTTTTATTCAGCAGGGGGTGTAGCTGCCTTGTTCATTGGTGTATCCCCATTGATACAGCTCTCAGTTTCTAGACAAGTATCCTGAGCATGATTGACATTCAATGAAGATTCATTGAGCTAGTTTATTGGAAGTGTTATTCTCATGTTATAGTGGTAGGAACTGAGGTGCATGTAACTTTAAGGTCACACAACTAATGTGAATGGGAGGGAGTATTTGAACCCCATTTTTTCTGTCTACTAAGATGAATCTGTAAGTCAACAGACTGCTTGGCATCCTGTTTATGTCCTTGTCAGAAACTGCTCTGGCTGGGGCATGCTGCCCCTTCTGGCTCTTGTTTTGTTTTGTGTTGTAGGGAGTAAGTGTGACAAAGGAAATCCACTCATAAAGGGTGGTTTAGAAAAGGAGGAGGAAACTTTGGTACCCCCCCACTTAGATGTGCCAAGTGGAATGTAACCAGCATTTTCAAAATGAAATAGAATCATAGACTGTCTGTGCTACTCCACCACCTCCCAAAGGCAAGGCTAGTGTTAAAAAATTAGATGAAGTTTGCTTAAGAGGAAAAAAGATCTACATTTGGGGTGGTCTCAGGCATATCCTCCAGGGCAGGGGTCCTCAGACTTTTTAAACAGGGGGCCAGTTCACTGTCTCTCAAACAGTTGGAGAGCTGAACTGCGGGCCCTGGGGACAAGTCGGCTGCTAAGCAGGACAGGCAGTGACGGCAAAAACACCCAGGGGTCCGGATAAATGTCCTAGGTGGGCTGCATGTGGCCCGCCAGCCATAGTTTGAGGACGCTTGCTCCAGGCATGAGCAGGGAAAACTTCCCACTGAGTTAAGTTGCGCCATTTTCTGCAGCATTCTTAAGACTTTTTCCTGAAATAAGTAGAGGTGGACTGAAAAACTGGCTCAATCTTTGAAAGTTGGGCTTACCATTAAGAAAAAAGATCCCAACCCACTAACCACTCATGTCTTGCTTGCAGGAATATCTGCTCCAGTTGTCTTTTTTGTGGACTATGCTTCCAACTGCTTATACATGGAAGAAATTGAAGGCTCAGTTTCTGTTCGAGATCATATTCAATCCACTATGGAGACTGACAAATCTCCCCAAAATCTCTTTGGCTTAGCCAAGACAATTGGGCGGGTTTTGGCTCGAATGCATGATGAAGACCTTATTCATGGGGATCTCACAACCTCCAACATGCTACTGAAACCCCCCTTGGAACAGCAGAACATTGTGCTCATAGACTTTGGACTGAGCTTCGTCTCAGGACTTCCGGAAGATAAGGGAGTAGACCTCTATGTCCTGGAGAAAGCCTTCCTCAGTACCCATCCCAACACTGAGACTGTGTTTGAAGCCTTTCTGAAGAGCTACTCTGTCTCCTCCAAAAAGGCCAAGCCAGTGCTAAAAAAGTTAGATGAAGTTCGCTTAAGAGGAAGAAAGAGGTCCATGGTTGGGTAGAAGAGTGATGACCACACACAGTTAAGCTCTTTTTTCAAAGTAAATGTAAAGAACTGCTGGGCATCTAAGGTTATACCTAAATAAAAGTTTTTTGTTTTTTTTTTTAAGTAGTGTCTCTGCTCATGCATGTAAAGTGTCATTATCATCTGCAGTTCACTGTTCTCAAGACCTTGCTGTACGCACAAGACATGTTCTAGGCAAAACTGGGTATTTAAAATGAATCTTAGGCTTTCTCCCAAATTGTGACCTGTCAGGGCCCGGGACTGGCCAGGTCTCAGGCCCGGCTTAGGTAGGTTCTGGATGCAGACCGCTAAGCTACCTTGCTCAGGAACAGTTTCTCGTAGGTGCTTGAGGGCTATCTACTTTAGCTGGAAAGAGAGAGACAAGAGTATCTTAGAGTAAAGGTCTTCTTAGAACAGATAGCTCTTAGTCTTTAGCAGAGCTTGGTAATCCAGCAGAGACGCCATGCTGGCGTTCTGCACGCAGCAGAGGGGACAGAGTCAGAGTAAGTAGATTCGTGATAGAATGCGCATGCCTCTTGACAGCCTTCTCCTCCAGCCTATAAAGCTGAGCTTTGTGCGTCTCAACACCACAGGTGTAGAGACTGCCAATTCACCAATGCTCTCATCTTGTGAGCTCTCTCATGCTTGTTAGAACCAAATCTCTCTCCATGCCCTTTCACCAAGGTGTTCCATTACAGGTATTTCTTATAACTCACTCCTCCTAGCCATAGGCTATACGGGCTGTTACATGACCTCATTCATGTTCACAGGTAGAGCAGCAGACTCCTCAGTGGCTCTTCTTTTTATTCCTGGTGAGACAAAGACAAAGCCTCACTTGGTGATAGTATATCTTTATCAGCCCTCTAACCTAGTGTTTTTTTGTTTGTTTTTTGTTTTGAGACAGAGTCTCACTTTGTTGCCCTTGGTAGAGTGCTGTGGCGTCGTAGCTCACAGCAACCTCAAACTCTTAGGCTCAAGCCATTCTCTTGCCTCCCAAGTAGCTGGGACTACAAGCACCCGCCACAACACCAGGTTTTTTTTTTTTAGAGACAGGGTCTCGCTCTGGCTCATGCTAGGATTACAGGCGTGAGCCATTGTGCCCAGCCCAGTGTTGTCTTTTTATGCACGTAAAACCAGCTTCATGGGATATAGCTAGCATTTTTAAAATGAAATAAAATCATAGTCTAGAAAATAATCAGCATGTTATTTTATGAAATCTGTTTCGAATGTATATATAGATAAGGGTTGTTTTTTCTTTGTTTTTTGAGACAGAGTCACTCTGTCACCCTGGATAGAGTGCCCTGTTGTCATAGCTCACAGCAAACTCAAAATCTTGGGCTCGAGGGCAGCGCCCATAGCTCAGTGGGTAGGGCACCGGCCACATACACTGAGGCTGGCAGGTTCAAACCTGGCCTGGGCCAGCTAAACAATAATTGCAATAAAAAAAAAAATAGCTGGGCATTGTGGCAGGCGCCTGTAGTCCCAGCTATTTGGGAGGCTGAGGTGAATCACTTAAGCCCAAGAGTTGGAGGTTGCTGTGAGCTGTGATGCCATGGCACTCTACCAAGGGTG